CGCGTCTGGGCTGTCAGCTGGCCGCGCGTTCCGCTGCCGCTTTGCTTCCTCTCCCTGGTCTGCTCGAGACCAGGGAGAGGAAGTGCCCCGTTCGTAACTGCGGATCCGACATAAGTCGGATCCGCGTAATTCGGGGACTGCCTGTACTGTCAACTAACAATAATGCAGCATTTTTTCCAGGACTTAATGTTGCTTGCACACTAAATTTAAGCTGTAATATTACCATCTCACTCCCTATGGTAGAGCTTCATATAATGGCAGTGTTACTGTGTTCAATGGCTGACTTAGTCTTATTAGGCCAAATGAAACTACTGTAAAATAGTTACTTTATAGCTGTACTAGCTAGAGTTCATAAAGACAAATGCATTTGGAATTATTTGTATATATGGTACCGAGACAGAACTTGGCAGATCTTTGAATTCTAGCAGGTAATGTATGATAGCAGGTTTGTTGGTTTTGGAATATTTTATTTTATACAAGATCTGAAGGGGAGGGCTTCTCTGGTTTTATTCAGTAAAGGATTTTTTTCCCTAGAAAGTAGAAGTTTAAAGGTTTTATAAACGAAGTATGAGTAATCCTACTTGGTTGTAGTGGGTTTGTAGTGGATTTACCACAGCGGAGCTCTGTCATCCTTAGCAATAAAATCATGTGTAAAGTACCATTGATCTTGTTTACTTTCAAAGATTCCTCCAATCTTGATTGGTAGAAGGAATGAAAAATTTTGGGGTACAGTAAAATTCCATTATTGGTGTCCTATTTTAAAGCTCTAAACTTCAGAGGTGTTTTGGTAAAATCTACATGTCCAGCAAACTTCAATCTAATTGAATTACGGTTTTTCTAAAATGTAAACACGGAGTGACCAAATCAGTACAATAGCAGCATAGTAGCTTAGCATGCCACCAAAATAACATTTTTGTAGGCGATTAAACACACTTTTCTAGTAAAACACCTTACTAGATTCCTTCTGAAGTGTTGCTGACGTTGATTAAAACTTACATTTTTGAAGGTTTTAAAGACTGAACCCTTCTCTGATGATCTGTCCCAAGTACCAGATTGTTTAGTTCTCAAACAATTGCATTTTTCTAATCTTTGCTACAACTACTCTTCTGGAAGGCATTTTGGGAATACATTCTCTGCAGGCTGACAGTATTAGAGGGTAATGAGTATCCTTATCCTCTTTCTCTTCTACCAATACCACTTACTCCTAGATTTTGGTGACTATCATTTAGGTGCTGATCATCATTCAGGCTACATCTACACTACTGTTTTTTCTGGCAGCAAGTATGCAAATGAGGTGCAGATTAGCATACTATGGTGCCTAATTTGCATAATTTATACATGTTTTTGCACAAAGGGTTTTTGCAGAAAAAAAGTAGTGTGGGCATGATTTTTTGCCCAAAATCTCCGTTGTCTTGCAAGATCCTTATGCCCCAGTAAAGGTGGCTTACCGATGTTGCAGAAAACAGGGTTTTTGCACCAAAAACCCGTGTCCACACTACTTTTTTTCTGCAAAAACTCTGCACAGAAATGGTGTGCATAAATTATGCAATGAGGGGCTGCAGTATGCTAATCTGTGCCTCATTTGCATTCTCACTACTGGCAAAATGGCAGTGTAGATGTAGCCTCAGTATATAAAAGCCATCCATACTTTTGTACAAGACTGACTAAGATTATGTAATTTTTTTGAAGATTGCTTAATAGAGGTCTAGTTTGGATGAAATTTTAAAATACGGCATGTCATATCAACAGACTCGTGCTTGACAGATTTTTTTTTTCCTCAACTTATAAAAAAATTAAATCTTTTTATAGCAAGCCTTGAGAAATCTTACATGTAATAAAATCACTCTTTTGTTCTGACAACGTTCATAGATTTTATCAAAATAATTCCTGTATTGTGCTTTCAGTATGTGTTTTGAATGGAAAAAATAGAAGCTGTTGACTTATTAGGTGATAGTGGAGATGATTCATCCTGAAGTTAGCACTGTATCCAATGTAACATTCTAACCCTTCTTTTTGGTTGCTCTTGGTTTTTTCAAACTTTTTTACCTCAAATTTGTATACTTCTTGACTTTTTATAGTTTTGAGTAAAAACTTCTTCATATTATTCAGCTCCTTGCTTTAACATGCAGCTTAATATTGAATGTACTCTCAGGTTTCTAGTCGGAGAAGGCCTTCTGTGGTTCCGGAATCTGGATCTAAAGTTCCACATGACACAAGACAACGATATGTCAACTTTTTTGTTGAAGAATTTTTGAAAGTTTGTAGAACAGTAAATGAAGCTTTTGATAAGGTTTGTATTGGTTATGAAGAGAAGCTTTAAAGATGTATAACACTTGAAAACTTAAGTAAACACCTGTTGCTTGCTATCTGTTGTTGGAGGGGAAAATGTTAAAGAATATTGAGATCTATTAAAATCAACTAGGTGTATAAGCCATTGGAAAATACCTAGTTATTTAGCAGACAAACTACTTGTTTTTTTCTTCCTTACTCCACCCACCTCTGTCATGTTTGTCCAAGTGTACTTTGTTTAAAAAGCTTGGAAGCTTTCATAAAGTAAATCGGTTTTCTTTGAAATATCAACATTACTTCTCTTAAGAGTGGAGGCTCCCTGGAGAAGAAATTAATACCTTAGTACCGTTCAGGTTTGTTAGTCACCTCCTTGACAATAATCCTCCCTCAAAAAGCAGTCACAGTAGTCCAGGTCACTGTTTTCCTTGGAGATGCTATTGTACTGACCATCCCTTCCCAAGTAAATACTTAAATTTACTTTAGAAATGGGCTCACAGGCATCCTGGGCAGCATCTTCAGTGAGAGACAAATTTCTTAATTATTGCAAATTTGAGAGCCTTCTGTGAAGTTTTTCAGTTAGGATCCAAGGTAAATGCCTAAAGTAAATTTCTAATGAAAACATGCAGAACATCTTGATGTTGCTCTTAAAATAACTTGCTATGTTTGCCTGTTTGCTTTCTTCACTTTATTCCTATTACAAGTACTATATACCTCGATGTAGTCTTTCACTGTATGTTTCTAAGATATAATATTTCTTTACTGCGTAAGTGTTTCCCCTTCAGTTTTCCCCCTAGTATTTGTTCTCCCCAGGTATCCTCATTGTTTTCAATCTCTCCTTGTTTCTGTGTTCCATGTTCTTGTAATGTCTTTTCTTTATTCTTAAATTGTTTTATTATTTTTTCCTAATCTTTTTTTCTTAGTTATCCTCCTCAATTTGCCACATTTAAAACCTAAGAGAAAATAGATATTGCCTGTGAGAGAAGATAACAAAATTTTGTTCCTAAGTGTTCTACAAAACAAAGTTAGGTTCACTGCAGCAAGTTCCATATACAACTTCTTGTCTCCTTTCCTCTTCAAATTGCTTGATGTCCTTTAACTTCTCCTACTACACCTTAACAGGAGGAAAACTGGGGAAATTTAAAAATGTTATGGCAGCTATGGACTTCCGGGATGACTTGTGGTATTGCTTTTATCTGCGTCCAAGAGTCATGGCACTATATTGCCGTGAAATTGGACAAGCAAAATCTACCAGGAAATAATACAATAAATACATAATATTAAAGTAGTGAAATGAGGCAAATCAGACTTCACTGCTTAGGACTTGAAAAAACGGGAGTAGGAATAATATCCACCTTCCAAAGGAAACCTTGATTATTGTTTTCCTTCAATGTAATAAAATCTTCAGATTTTAATGTTGCACTGTTTCACTGATTTGTATAATGTTACTCTCTTGTCTTGCAAAAAAATTGAATGATAAGATTATAGTAATCCAATTTAGATACAGTTTGATTGAAATTACTTTATTTTCACTCAGTTATGTTCACTTTCAAGGACATGACTTAACTTTCTAGTTCCTGTAATGGAGATTTTTCTGAATATTCCAAATATGTATACAATTTATTAAAATATCATATGATTAATATAACATTTAAGTGTCTAGGTCACTGCAGCATGGAAATATCTTCAGTTCTGACTGCAAAACCTTTCACTCTGAATAACAACTCTTTGCAAAAATTACAATAAAGCTATGTGTCTTTAAATTTGGTCTTTTTAAAATGTAGGCATTGGTAGAAGAAAAAGCAATTTATGATCGTTGTGGCAGTAAAAATATGTATCTGAACATAGCTGTGAACACCCTTAAAAAGCTGAGGGATCAAGGCAGCCTTTCTCCAAATGGTAAGAAATTCTGTAGGGGAATGGGGAGGGAGAAAAGTGGTGATGTCTGACAAAGATAAAGATAATTCTATTTTCCTCGATGGTTTTGTTTAAATTATGTTGGTATAACATGCTTCTGAAAAGCTTCCAATGAAATAGTGTTTAAATTCTTTTAAAAATTTTCACTTTAACTGCCAGAGGAAGTCTGAAATTTGGAAGATGCCTTTAAATATAACTTCAGTGTTTTTCTGTATTTAGGGCAGTCTTCTGGGAACAGATGTACTAATGCAACTGGATCTAGAAAATCGGACGAGAAGAATGGTAAAACAGACTGATAGTTCTTACCTAAAATGTGTGACCTCCCCCCTGCCCATTATATAAAAACTAGAGCAACTTACTCCAACATGGAAAAAATTGCATTCCTAGTTTGCTAATCCTGTTCCTATTTTATATCGGCTCCATGTACCACTCATGGCCAAAGTACTAACAACTCAGAACAGAACTAGTGCTATTTTTCAAATCATTGATATATTTAATTTCATTGAGACAAGGAAAGAATTTAATATCTATCTGATGCAAGAATGTTTTTCAGAGTTCTGGTTTTGCAACTTTTTATTAGTGTTAGTTACGTTGAACAAGTTACGTCTTCATATCTTACTTTAGGGGTTTGGTTTTTGCTGATTTTTGGTTGTTAGAGACATAACAGGTGTGTAATTTGAGTGTGATCAGGTAAACTGAAATGGTTCAGCATAGCTGAAGCAAAACCTTACATGTGCATCTAAGATGTCCAGATGGGTTTGTTTTGAAATCCATCATGTAACGTGCCCTAACCTGTCTTTAAATGCTATTAGGTTTTACAGGAGTTGTTCTCTACAGAATTCTAAAAGACTATGTTCTGACTGAAGAACAAATGCATGAGAATGGCTACCCACAACCAAATCCTGACAAACCTGGCAGTGCTATATTAGGCAATGGCATTACGAAAACAGCTGTATCTGATGGTAAGTAAATGAGACCAGAATTTGTAGCGATAGTCATAGTAGTTGATAAGTTCCTAACTGTCAGGGTAGTCAAACACTAAAATATCTCCAGAGATGGAGATTCCACAACCCCCCTGGGCAATTGATTCAAGAGTAGGGTAAGTAGATGTCTATCAGGGATGGTCTAAACAGTATTTGGTCCTGCCATGAGGGCAAGGGACTGGACTCGACCTCTCAAGGTCCCTTCCAGTCCTAGTATTCTATGATTCTATGTTAGGATTTTTTAAAATAGTTTTCTCTTAACTTTCTTTGGATATTTGTTTTATATATTGCATTGAAAGTTTGTAATGTTATGTAACTACTTGGGCCCCAATGGGTGGAAACAGATACAAATTATCAAATAATTCCTTTAACTTCAGAAAAACTACCCATCAGCAAAATTTTTGCCCAGAAATACATATTATATCTGCAGTAAAACCAAAAAAAGTTTGAGTTTGAGTAGTTGGATGAATAAAATATGACACCCCAAAATGTAACTTGTGAGGTTTTTTTAGACAAGTTTTTTTTACAGAGATGCATATATCAGAATTATGCTTCAGGAATTCATATTTGTGATGAAATGCTTTGTCATATAGCTTGACCATAGCTGGAAAGCTTGCCATAAAAATGTTTACTTAGCTAGGGAAATAGATACAATGCATATCTCTTACTCTGATGATTGAAAAGGAAGATCTTGTGTTTGTTTCACTTGTCCAGAGTGAATAACCTTTTTAATGGGTGAATAGAACTTTTTCAGGGCTGGATTTTAATTAGTCATTAAATTCTCTTACTACTTCAAGCATCCAAGAGAGTATGTTGTAGATGTGGAGAAATATACACTGTTACTACTTCAGGAAAGCACATTCGTAAAGAAGAATGCAATTACCATTCTGGCAGAGTACTAAGACAAAAAGGTGGGTATAGCTATTGGTATTACTCGATGTAAGCCCCTATCAAAATCATTGAACAATCAAAAGTTCCTTCTTAATGTTTCATATTGCCTTCTTGTTTCAAACCTCAGGCTATGTCTACACTCGCGGCTTCTTCCGCGAGTAATATGCAAATGAGGCTAAGCGAGGAGGATCGCCGAGCCTCATTTACATACCTAATGAGCCACCATTTTTTTTCAGAAGAGGCTCTTTGCGCAAGAAGGAGCATCTACACTGCCCCTTCTTGCGCAAGAAAAACCCTCTTGCGCAATGCCGTTACACCTATTACTTTTCAGGAAGAATGGCATTGCACAAGAGGGTTTTTCTTGTGCAAGAAGGGGTAGTGTAGATGCTCCTTGCGCAAGAGCCTCTTCTGAAAACAATGGTGGCTCATTAGGTATGCAAATAAGGCTCGGCGATATTCCACGCTTAGCTTCATTTGCATATTACTCACGCAAGAAGCCGTGAGTGTAGACCTAGCCTCAATGTGTTTGGCTTCGGATGCAGATAAAACTAGAAATGTCTGCTGTTTCCTAGGATTGTGGATACTTGGCAACATATCAGATTTGCATGTAGAAGAAGTCTAGATTCTGGTGATCCAAGTAAGGATAAATTAAAACATTTCCCATTCTTGGCGGAATTTTGTTAGGGAGAGCTGGAAGTGATACCTTTTATTTAAATAGTTTTAATAATGTCAGTTCTGAAAAATACTTTTGATTTCTTCTGAGGTTTTAACATCCCATTGTCTGTATCAGGCATTTGAATTCAGAAGGGAGAAAACTCTGGAGACAGGGAAGTGTATTTTCTTTGCTTCATGAAATTCTGTTCAGGCTGAGCAGAGAAGCTTTCTTTTAGTCACTTCAGTTATGGGACTGTTCCTTCCCATACCAGCATATTGCCCCAATGGTTCATCCTTTTCCCTCCATCACGAGACACTGTGTGAAGAAAAGCCTTCCATTTCTTCCTGATAGAAGTAGGATCTCCTTGCCCCCAAGGGCCACGTCTGAGTTACAGCAAGTGTCACATTTCTGTTGTATTCTGCTGCCAGTTAATATAAATATGCCTGTAGCTCAATCCGTACTGCAGGATTCAAAGTAACAAATGATGCAGGGAGAGGAAGGGGCTTATTAGAGCAGCGCAGGTTATCATTTGTGTTTAATTTTTCATTTTAAAGATGGCAATTAACAAAAAAATACAAAAGCCGTATGTTGCAGTATCAAGCATTCAAAAGTTAGGAGCTGCCCCTATTTGGAGTTGGTAACACATACTTTTAAGGGGATAGAAATAAGGCTTCACAAGCAACCTAAGTTTTGGCAGTTTTTAATGTCTTGAGTCACCGTCTAGAAAGTTTACTTAATGTACGTCTTTGTATGTAATACATAGCTTAGGTAGGTGTGGGCAAACATTTTGGCCTGAGGGCCACATTGGGTAGGGAAGCTGTTTGCAGGGTTAGATAGGAAAGACTGGGCCTCCTCAAACAACCAGGAGTGGCCCAGCCCCCCTGTCTTCTATTCAATCCCTCCTGCTTCTCACTGCCCTCAACCTTGGGGCTTGCAGTATGGTGACTGTGCTGCCCAGGCACTGAGGGATCTGAGACTGTAGAGAAGTAGGAGCAGAAGGGGAGGGCTAGGGGCTAGCCACCTGTGCTTGGCACACTGCTCAGGAGTTGGTCTGGATCTTCCCAAGAAGGCTGTTCCTTCCCTGCTCCCTGGCAGGAGCCCAAGGACCTGAACAAAAGTTCCAATGGACCATATGTGGCCCACGGGCCATAGCATCTAAACTAGAGATTTACCAAATTCTTATTCACAGCCCAAGAATGAACCTGGGAAGTGTACATGAATTGTGAAAAAAGGGGTGAACTTCTGGCATAGTTAACTTCATTTTACTAAAGAAATTCTACATTCACTCAAGTAGAAAAAGAAATCAAAATATTACTTTATCCTTTTTGTTGTGACATGGAAACATGAGCTGCTTATTCCAAATAAGTAGGATTGTTTCAGCGGGTTTTTTAAAAAATTTTCCTTTAATATTTTTATGGCAGTTCCTGGTGGTTTAGAAACACGGTATAGCTGTTGTGAAGGAGTAGTTGGGTCTCCTGGATGCCAAGTTGCAAAGGTAGGAACCTGTTAGCATGGCTTAAACTTTTCACAGTGTGAATTGCATCTTGAGACATTATCTCAAGAACCCACATCCCTTTCTACTCCTGGTAGGACTGGATGCTTAAGATCACAAAATAACTCTGTTGCTATTTTCATGGAAGTGTAATAGGGAAGAAGTAAATGTAGTTTTTCAGCTGTTACTAATATAATATAATAGCATTGTTTTTCCAAAAAGAATCATTTGTAATCTTTTTCTTTTCTTTCTTTTCATTCACTTCTCTCTTCAGGAAAAAGAGCCAATGCTTTGGACTAGCTATGGCCTGCCACTTGTCATAGACTATAGTTTATGAACTACTCTTTACAGAAACTTAGGTTCTTCTTTGAGTGGTCCCTGTGTGTGCTTCACTCTGGGAGCTGGTGCATCCTCACACCGGCAACTGGAGACTTTTTCCAGCAGTTTCTGCTGCACCTCACAGGCACCCCAGCGCCCTCTAGTGCCATTGGGATCCTGAGGCGCCTGCACGGCATGGCTCCTCAATTCCTTCTCCACTGTCCTCGGCAGCGGACGGAGGCTCTGAGTTCTACTTCTTTTTGTAAAAAATAGACAAATTCCCAGTTTAATTCCCTAGTTTCTTCAGAATCCAAGTTCTTTAGTACCCTTCTCTTTACCCAGTTGGGCAAAACAACAAAAAATGTTTCTCCGTTGCGGCTTGCTGCTTTTCCCCCGGGCGCCTCGTGCTCGGCTCCCCTGGCTTCAAATGATGTGAGACATGCCACAATGTGATGCCTGTTTCAAAGTGTATCAAGTGCTTGGGAGAGGCTCATCTGACCCAAAAGTGCTCCCACTGTCTGAAACTCACCACAAGAGCGCGGCGTGATAGAGCCAATAGACTTAAAATGCTGCTCTATGAGAAGTCCCTGCGACCATCTACTGAGGACTCTCCGGCAGCTCCACAACTGACTTCACAGAATAAGGGTATGGATAAGAATCATCCCTCTGCCCTTCCCAGCCATACAACCTCTAAACCGAGCCTTTCCCCAACTCCCTCGCTACCCTTGGCACCGACAGCCGCATGGGTCAGCACTGGAGACAGATCGGGAACTTCTGGCATGATGGCGCGCAAATCGGGGCTGACTCATAAGAGAGCCCACTTGGAGCCGAAACAAATGGCGACGGCACCACAGACTACAGCACCGGAGACACCAGACACACTGTTGATGCCCACGAACCACGGTGTGGATTGAACAGCACCAAGGCACCATAGTAAAACAGCTTCGAGGCCGTCACTGAAAAGACCCCGCACCGACTTTCCACTGCCAGATCAATCGGCACCGGAACCGACTACTGTGCTGCACTCGCTGCCGGCACCTACAGTTTCCATGGCACCGAGGTCGCTGCCGGCAACATCCAGGCCACACCACTCCACACGGAGGTAGGGCCGTAGTCGGTACTGATTGCCACCGCGGCATTTTACTCCTGCGGCACCGGTCTCTTCCGCTAGGTCCGCACAGTCCTGACGATCACCTGCACTTTCTCATTCATCGAGCGAAACAGGCACTGGGTCTAGGAGCAGATTTTCTTCTCAGTGCTCCAGCCCGGCACCTAGACCATCATCCTGGCAACCTACCACGGTGCAATATACATATCCCTTCACCACCATGGTATGCAGAGCAGTGTGCCTACCCACCACCACCATATGCCACTCAATGGCAGCCGTGGGAACCGCAGCCAAAGAAGGTCCACCGTCATGCTTCTTCCGCAGTGTCTTGCCCTCCTCCTGCTTCACCATCCAACACTGCTCCTGCTACTGAGCTGCCCTTTCCAGCTCATTCAGACATACAGGACTCCCTTTCTGAAGGGGAAGATAGATCCCCACTCCATAACTCTTCATCATTCCCAGACAATGCTGTCACGTCTGAAACCCCACAACTGGGTGATGTTAAAAAGTTTCAGGAGTTGTTCAAGAGTGGCCCTGGCACAGCAACGAGACCTTCAGGAAGTCCAAGTAAAGCATTACCAACTTCTGCATACACTGCAACCTCCAACTGCCTCTCGGATAGCAGTCCCTATGGATGAGGCTATTATGGACCCTTCTGATGTCACCTGGCAAACTCCAGCTTCTATTGCAAGAAGTAAAAGGGTCGACTGCAAATATTTTGTCGCTCCCAAAGATTCAGATTTTCTTTTTACTCACCCCCCTCCAAACTCACTAGTGGTGGACTCTGCTCGCCACAAAGGAAAACAGCCGAACTTTAAAAATACCCCACAGGACACAGACCACAAAAGGGTTGACATTATGGGTCGTAAGATTTACACCTCTGTTACCTTGCTCCTTAGAGCATCAAACTACACTGCGATGCTCGCAAACTACTATCATGTTAACTATTCCAAGCTGCAGGACCGTCTCCAATTCTTACCAGAGCAACAACGGCCGGCCCTCTTGAATATCATGCACAAGGGCCATAATGTTTCTCATACTGCTTTGCAATCCGCCATGGATATAGCGGACACAGCGGCAGCGTCTGCCATAGTCTTATGCAGGTTCTCATGGCTACAGGCATCCGGCATTCCAAGGGATCTTCAACATAAGGTAGAAGACCTACCCTTTGATAAGATCAGCTTATTCTCGGCCAAAATGGATGAGAGATTACATTCCATGAAAGACTCCCGTACTGCCCTCAGAACTGTAGGAATGTACACTCCCCCATTCAAGAGGACCAGATACCAACCATACCAATGCCCTAGAGAACCCTTTAGGCAACAGACAAGACAGGATTTCCGTCAGACACAGACTATTGCGCCGTAGGCGTCAACACCAGCAGCACCAGCTCCCCCCCAGCCGGTGACGACCAAACAAATTTGAAGTTCACATCGAGGGCCAGAAAGCCACTCCCACACGACCAAAACCGATACTCTTCAGTTTCACCACACTCTCTGGACCTTCTACCACCAATGATTCCTCATTACATCAGACTCATGGGTCCTGGAATGATCCAATACGGCTGTTATCCCATTCACTTGCCTGCCTGCCACCCACCCACCCCCTGTCCCCATCCCTATCCCTCTTCAGGGCCCCATCTCACAAAACCCTCCTCAACCAGGAGGTGTCACATCTTCTACAACTGGGTGCCATAGAACCAGTGCCACCAGAGTTCCACGGTCGGGGATTCTACTCAACCTACTTCCTAACCCAGAAAAAGAACAGAGGATGGTGACCCATTTTGGATCTAAGATGATTCAACAAATATATCGCCTACCAATGTTTCAAGATGGTTACCTTAGTGATAATAATCCCAGCACTCGACCAAGGCGATTGGCTTTTGGCTCTCGACTTGCAGGATGCCTATTTTCATATTCTGGTCCATCCTGCACACAGACGCTTCCTACGTTTCACAGCGGGCACCCAACATTACCAGTACAAAGTGCTCCCCTTTGGCCTTTCAGCTGCCCCAAGGGTCTTCTCCAAAACCCTGGCAGTGGTAATGGCAGCACTCTGACGGCAAGGGGTTATGATATACCCATATTTGGACGATTGCCTCATAAAGGGCTCCTCCTATCACGAAACCAAGGCCATGACCGACACCACAATGCACTTTCTTGTCAACTGGGGGTTCCACATAAACTATGCAAAATCTTCTTCTCTACTGCCAACACAGAGGTTAGAGTTCGTAGGCGCTTACCTCAACATAGTGGCAGCAAAGGCCACACTGCCTGAACTCAGGTTCGTCACCATTCGTGGGCTTATCAATACGGCACGCTTAACCCCTACCATGGCGGTGCACCAATGTCCCAAAATTCTCAGATACATGGCGTCTACGACATACGTAGTCAAAATGGACAGGCTCCACATGAGGAGTCTTCAATCATGGCTGGCAACATCCTACAAGCCTTCCGGGTATCCACTCTCCAAGACCGTGGCTATCCCGCCTCGTATCCTCAGATCCCTCTGTTGGTGGACAGACCCACAAAACTTGTTGGAGGGCATTCCCTTCCAGGCTCCTCCACCTACTCTCACACTAACCACAGATGCCTCCTTTATGGTCTGGGGAGCCCATTTGGACAATACTACAGCTCAGGGCAAATGGTTGTTCACGGAACAAACTTTTCATATCAATTTCCTTGAACTGCGAGCAGTCAGATACTTCTGTCAATGATTTGTGCGCTATGTATTGTTCAAAGCGATCACCATCATGACAGACAACACCACGTGCATGTATTACATTAACCACCAGGGCGGAGCTTGATTCCCATTCCTGTGCACAGAAGCCATAAAGTTCTGGACCTGGTCTCGCATGCACCAAGTTACCCCAACAGCCTGCTATCTCCCAGGCGAACTGAATGTCACAGCAGACATGACCAATGCAAGTGGGAAATAAACAGACCTGCTCACTTCACTTTTCCTCCATTGGGGGCAACCACACGTAGATCTTTTTGCCACAAAGATCAACAGAAAATGCTATCTTTACTGCTCCAGAGGGGCCTTAGGGAGACGTTCCCCCGGGCCTGCCTTTTCCATCTCATGGAACACGCACTTCCTCTATGCCTTTCTGCCCTTCCCTCTTCTGCACAGGGTCCTCAAGAAGATCATGGCAGATCAGGTGCAAGTCATTTTCGTGGCACCCACATGGCCCAGGCAGACATTGTACCCTTACCTTCACAAGATGGCAATGATGGACGGACCCGTTCCCACTCCCGCTCTATTATGATCTCCCGTCACAAAATCACAGAAGGATGCTCATCCAGACCTTCACAAACTCCATCTCCACACCTGGCTCCTTCATGCCGAGACTTCCTGTTCGGAGCCGGTGAAAAACATACTGATCAATAGTAGATGATATTCTACTAGGAAAACATACCTGTACAAATGGAAGAGATTTTGCCATTGGTACAATGCCTCGCATTCAACACAACCAGAATCTGCCCCCATTCCTATCCTTCTAGACTACTTACTTTCATTGAAGCTATCAGGCCTGGCCATTAGCACGATTAAGGTCCATGCAGCTGCCATTGCAGCTTTCATCACCCTGTTGACGGCACATCCTTCTTTGCTAATCCATTAACTAAGCGCTTCCTTAAGGGCTTACTCAACACCTTCCCAGCTGTCTGCCCACCGCTCCATATCTGGGATTTGAACCACGTTCTGAAAAGCTTAATAATACCTCCCTTTGAGCCCATGGCTACCTGTTCCTGGTACCACCTGTCCACGAAGGTAACCTTCCTGGTGGCTATAACCTCCCGCAGGAGAGAGAGTGAACTGGCAGCCTTGATGGCCGACCCTTCATATGCAGTGTTCACAAAGGACAGAGTAATACAGGCAGTCCCTGGGTTACGTACAAGATAGGGACTGTAGGTTTGTTCTTAAGTTGAATCTGTATGTAAGTCGGAACTGGCGTCAGCCGCTGCTGAAACTGATCAGTTT